GGCATCTCTGGAAGGTCTGAATGGCAGGACCAAAAGCCCAAAAAACAAATTTGAATTCTCTGTGCTCATAGTGGGCCGCCATATCCCCACCCTGCCATTCCCACTATACAACTGTAGTGGGGTTCGCTATTTGAAGCGCCGCAAAAAACCTACACGTTATAAAACGTAATCGTCAATACATAAACATAGTGAGATAAAATAAATAATACGTGCATTTTTAATAAAATTTTTCTTACTGAGGGAGTTGTGCGAAGTTCTCTTCCCAAGTACCATACAAACTGTCGATGGCTTTTTTCCTCCCGTGCCACGCCTTCTTGTAGCTCACATCCACTTTCCAACATTTTTTTACATCCTCCTGGATCAGGGTAACACTGTACTCCGGTTTTTTTTTTTAATTTTGGTCATGATAAGATTGGAAATCATTGTGGCGGTTACATTTCTGTGGTCATTTTTGTCGACTTCTTGCATACAACTATGCCTCTCGGTCCATTCCGTTACTTCCCACAGTTCATGAACCCGTGTGCAGTGCGACACCCGAGCCTTCCACGGACAAGGCTGAGCTTCTTCGGATTTGCACACCACCTTGAATGATTTCTTATTCGAATATTTTGACCTAATCTCCCTCAATCTACTCACGTTCCAATTCATTATAGCAATCTGTGCTTCTTCCTTGGACCGGAAAACAGTACCCAAACAAATAGAATCCACATTTCCATTCCAACGAGGGAGAGCATGCTCATCTCGGTCTACACACAACGGGTCCCACTCACCCATCTCGCGATACACGTGTTGACCGGTACTAGGAAATGGGTGCTCTTCAATAAACTCTGGATCACTCTCCTCGCTTATTGATGTATCCGATTCCGTTTCCGATGTATCATCTATGAAATCGTCTTCATCAAGAATGAAATCATCATCGGGTTCTTCTCTGGTTGTTGTGCTTGTCCCTTCGCCAAAATTACGAACATGCGAAGTGGACGTACCTTCAAAATCAGGCACTCCCCCGTAAAAAGGGGGAACATCCTCAAACTGTGTAATCACTGCAGGTGCCTGCGTAACCTGCTTCAACTCTAAATGCAAATACACATAGGAGAAAGCAGGAAAATAATATATCCACTCAAAGGCACTATCAGTATTCATATTTCCGATATTCCACGAACCATCGGGTCGGTTTGTCAGTAAACTAATCCCCTCAATTGTCAAACCATTTCGACGGAAACCAAAATTTTCATAAAGTCTATCTACAAATTGTTGAAATGATATCTTCTCCCCAATGGAAAATGAACCATCCGGACGGTTTATAAAATCTGAAAATGAATGTAAAACCTCTTTCGGATAATTCCAATACACATTAACAAAGTATGGTAGTCCGGCAGACGCAATTTATACCTGTTAAAAATAAAATCACGAATTCATTTATCAAACCCTAATACTCATAATCCATCAATAACATATAATTCACATTCAACCAAAAAAACCATAAAAAAAAAAAATCATTCTCAATCAAATAATCCCCTTATCGAACAATAACATATAAATCATCTATAATTTCGATAAATTGAAACCCTAATTTCAAAAAACCCTAACCACAACGACAACCAAACAATTACACAATTGACAATTAACACATAATATTTCAATATCCAATTCAACATACACACATAATCATTAATCAATTAGCAATTTCAAGTTTCAAACACCAACACATTCAAACATATTATAACAATTATCAATCTCCAAATAACTCCAAACAAATATAAAAAGTTAAGACAAACCAATATACCTCGTGCGAATGAATTAACCGGAAATAAGGCTCGTGTCGCTGTTGTCGGTTCACGTTAGAGTGAAGATTGGATCGAGTTTTTTTTTTCCTCTAAGTATTTTCGCTCTTCAAAATGCTCTCAGTAGTGCTCCTCTTGCTCTCTGCTCTCTGCTCGCTCGCGTTATGAATGGAGAAGAAAGATTTTTTTTTAATATATTTTACGAAAAACGTATTTAAGGAATACGTCTTCTGTGCGTTTAAATGTAAAACGTATTCCTTAAATACGTTTTGATTAAATGAATTTTTAAAAATAAAATAGTTTTTTTTAAGACGTATTCAGGAAATACGTTTTCAGAAAACGTATTTATTAAATACGGTTTTTGTTTTATTTTTTTTATTTAACGAAAATTATTTTGAAAATTGTTTACGATTTTTTTTAATTAAAATATTTAAATGAAAACGTATTCTAGGAATACGTTTTTTTAATTAATTTTTTTTTGAAAAACGTATTCAAGGAATACGTGTATTTCATGCTTGTCCACTCCTATTTTTCTTTTTTTTTTTTGTCCACTTAATTTCAATATTTTTTTTTTAAATAAATCACCCCATATGTTACAGATTTTATTTATTTATTTTTTTTTTAAATAAATCACCCCATATGTTACAGATTTTATTTATTTTAGGAGGCTCGTTTGCGGAATCTTGTTGGGATTATCATTTTTTTTTATAGATAAATGCTACGGTCCTATGACGGAACCATTTCGTTGGAATTTATAACTGTTAGATCAACTATCTCCGACTGCGTTCCCGTGACGGAACCATTTTGTAAATCAACTATTTCCGCGGTTACTGAATGATCTAACAATTATAAATCCAACGGAATAGTTCCGTAACGAGACCGTAACATTTCTCGAAAAATGCATACTTATGTTATCAAACGTTGTAAACTTTTATTTTTATTGCTTTCTTATATTATTTATTATAACATTTTCAAATAAAAGTATATATTTATATGAAAAGTATGGTAGCCGATTAATAATTATTAGGCACATCCTAATAAAATATATACCGAATGTTTTATGTTTTACTCTACTTCCAAATTATTTGTAATGTTAGGCATATTTTATTTAATCCACAGTTGCAATTAATATAAAATTTAAATTAAATCACCGAATATTTTTACCATTTCGATTTTAATTTTTTTTACACCTATAATTCATATCATTTTCACAATCACAAATTCCTATTGAACACATCTGCAAGAAGAAATCATAAACTCCATAACATTCATGTTGTCATTTATCATAAGAACCATCAAACTCATTGTCATTTTTCTTCACAGAAACAGTCATCAATTGACAGTGATACCCTGTTACAAACTCTGAAAATTTTCTGGCAAAAAGGAGCTGTAAGCTAACAGATATTCCATATTTGTAGTAATGTCAGATTTATTCGAGCACAAATCCTCGTTCGAATGCAAAGTCCCTTCTACATCCCAACATGGTCCCAGTCGATCGTTCGATCTTCAAAATTATCCGCATGGTGGAGCTTATTCCGAGCAAGCCTACTCATAATCGCCAGACCTGAAAAATAAAGATAGCGTACAATAATTATACGAGAAAAATAACTTCACCACTCGGCTGGCAAGATAATATCCGACTCGAAATTGTTTTAACCATTGTCGTCAAAAAAATTTATCTGATGATAAAAAGCGACATTCTCGCTAGCTATCTACAAATCACAAGAGTCAAATTTACCAAAGAAAAAAAAAACGTCGTTCAGCGTAATTATAGAAGGAAAGAGTTAATCTTTCAGGATCACAGATAACCATTCATGCATTTCAAACACCCAATTGAGTGGTGCAAAATTTGTAATTCTAAAAGCAGCTAAGTTCTTTTGCATCTGGACCAAAACTTTTGGTGTTGTTCTATTTGATTAACTAATAACAGAACCAATTATAGCAAACTGTCTCAATGCACACCCAACATATAAAATACACAAATAAAAATAAAACAATAATACAAAAAAATCAGTATATTCACATGTAAAAAAAAAAAGAAAAACAGTACCTTCGATCATTTTGTATAGAGATGACCACCACCTATCTCCCGGAATCTGGTTCCTGTCGAGATTCTCCTCGATTTCCTTGTTATGCTTACCCTCCAATACTTCCTGGAGGGTAATTACGGCATTCCTCGTCTGCCGGAGGATATTATTATCCTCACTGCTAACTTCCAACTGCAGGAGATCATTTTGCGAAGAAGTCAAACTCACCGCCAGTGCAAACTGGGCGGCAGCCGCCCAGCGGGAGGAGGCCAACCACCTTCTCCGGCCATCCAGCTGGTTTTCTGCCTCTCGTTTATCGCTGTCCGGTTCGCCTCTGAGCACTAGGCTGCGAAGGTACTCGGCATTTGCAGTCCCAGTGCTCTGGACCATCTTCGAAAAGGCACTGTCTTCTTTCTGTAGGAGTGTCTCGGGCGTGTCGAACTCGACGACCTGACAAAATTCGAGACAAAAAAGTCAACAACAAATTTAGGGTGTGATTGGATGTGGATTTGATTGATTTTTTTTTTTTTTGTTAACCATAGTTAATTTTGAAAAAGGTGGTATGGTTTAGTTATTAGTGAAATTTTGAGTGTAGATTCAAATAATATTTAAAATAAAATAATTAAAGCTGATTTGATGTAAAAGTATGAGAGAGATGATGTGAAGTGATGGTTAGTTAAAATTATGTGAGTAGATAATAATGAATTTAAAGTTGATGTGATGCGTAAGAATGATTAATTGAGTTTATTTAATTATATTGATAATGTTGAGGATAATGAGATTGAGTAAAATTTGAGTTTTGATTCAGTTTTTTCGTTTAGATGGAGTTTACATCGAATCACTCACACCTAGTGAATTTTACAAGAATTATAATAAAAAAGGTATAAGAGTTGCAAGACGCGCTTTGAAGGATGCCGCCTATAGTAATTTTATGAAATAGGTTTCGCTTGTAAATGAGGAAATGATAGAATGATATCAAAATATTTTAAGGGATTTTTGTAACTTCGGAATTTCTCCGGTTTTTACTGTAAATAATTGAAACTCCGGGTGTTTTTGTAAATATACCATCTCAAAAGGGGTAAAAAAAACAAGAAATAAGACATCCTATAAAAATTACGTATGCCCCCCGGGTACATTACAAACACTCAGTTGAGATTTGTCACTAATTGACTTTAACTCATTTCCTTAACAATGCAAAAACTTAAATAGTGAAGCTGTATTTAATAATTTAGAAAAGAAAAGTTTTTTTTAGGCTAAACATCAAGATAAGAACTTGCTATTATTCCTATACCATTTGTGAGACCAGTTTTCAGTAAATTTTCTGCAACTACCTTTTGGCATAGCAAAATTTTCTCCACTAAAATTTCCATTACAAGAAGCGAGCGGTAAAAAAGATGGCTCCATACCTGACCAGCATCGAGCAGAAGAATTCTATCACAATCAATGATGGTGTTTAAACGGTGGGCAATGATTAGCATTGTGCAGGATTTAAATTCTTCGCGAATGGTTTTCTGGATGAGGGCATCAGTCCTAACATCGACTGCAGCTGTTGCTTCATCAAGAACAAGAATCTTTGATCGGCGAAGTAATGCTCGAGAAAGACTCAACAATTGCCTCTGTCCGACACTGAAATTTTCTCCTGCTTCAGAGACCTTGTGAAGACAAATATTGAAAATGAGTAAAGTAGAACTAAGATCCAGATAATAAGAAGAAAAGAAAAAACTGCTTCTGTGTGCAACAATTAGGGTATATGACTGGATATGAATTTGTCTGTTTTAAATTGGTTATTTTAGCCATAGTTAATTTGAAAAAGGTGGTATGATTAGTTGTTAGTTTAAGTTTAAATTAAAATATTATTAAAAATAAAATAATTAAGTTTTGGAGAAAAATGATTGTAAGTGTGAATAGTGAATTAAAGTTGATATGATTTAATTATACTGAGAATATTGATAATACTGATGATGGTGGGGTCGGGTTAAAGTTGAGTTAAATTTGAGTTCTGATTGTTTTTATCTTTTTTTGGATTGAATTTATATCCAATCACACCCTTAGTATCTGGTAACCTCTATTGATGACCAATATTGAAGTCCAACCTTATTAGAAAAAATAAAAAGTGTAATATGCATGAATTTAATATGCTTTCAGTGTAGGGAAAAAAAAAAGAGCATTTTGATCATGGTTAATAAATTTTCAGGCTGACAAATTTCCTATTTAAATTAGATATGCGACTTTATTATTTACCTCTGCATCCAAACCCAAATGATTCCTCCTGATGACATCTTTCAAATGGGCCCTTTCCAAAGCCTCCCAAAGATCAGCATCATTGTGTTCATTGAACGGATCGAGATTGAACCGAACAGTACCTGCCCGGAATATTACAAAAGGGGTCATTCGGTTAAAAGCAACATTTGAAACAAACAAGGTATAGTGACAAGAAATTCGATAGGTAACAGCAAAACTTTTTAAAAATCAGTATATTTACTTTCTACAGGTAATTGGACACTTTTAAAACGTATGTGTAAATTTACTCGGCGAAAAAAATGATGAAATTATAAAAACAAACTTGCTGAGTCTCTGGGGGTGTCTAGTACATAAGTTCCAACTTTCAGGGGAAAAAAAAAAAAATCCTTAATGTTGTTTCTTTTGCTGTCTTGTTCTTATCTTATTGGTTTGGTCTTGCTTGAAATTTTTCATTTCGTCTCCATGAAGACCTTTTAGGATTAATTTTAGCTTTTCCAAGTTTAAAAATGGAAAAAAAATCCACAAGTATATTTAAGAAAAAAATTGTTCAAACCTGAGAAAAGCACAGGTGACTGTGGTATAATCCCCAGAACCTTCCGGAGATCCGTCAGCCCAAACTTCGCTATATCACAACCGTCAATAAAGATTCTCCCACTCTCCAGCTCGACAATCCTAAACAAAGCATTCAGCATGCTCGATTTCCCAGCCCCAGTCCTCCCCACAATCCCAACTTTATCACTGGGCGAAATCTCAAACGATATCCCGTGCAGTACAGGTGGCAGCTCGGGCCTGTACCTCAAAACCACATCCTCAAATCTTATCGAACCCGACGAAGGCCAGGCTGGCGGCGGCCGGTTATTCTCAATCACCAGTGGGCCCTCCGATGGAAGCTCTATGTACGTCCCGACCCTCTCAACTGCATTAAAGCTGTTCTCCGCCAGGCTGGCGAGCCTCAGAACGCCGGTCAACAAGCTCGTGATGTTCAATGCGTAACTCAAAAGGAGACCCATTGTCGAGGCGAATGCTTCTTGGTTTTCGGCTCGTCCGTTTTGTAAAACGGCAAATGTGGCGGTGAACCATATCATTATGCCGCCAACAGTTTCTAAACGGATGGCGAGCCAGCGATTTCCACTCATGTTAACGAGAGTAAAACGGATATTATTGTCCATGGATTTGCCGTTTATGCTGGCCATTCGGTCGTAAGCTTTGTAGGCTCGTATGGTCGTGAGGCCATTGAGTGCCTCGCCAAATTGAGCGTAAACGGGGGATCGGGTGATAGAGTCCAAGCGCTTTACTTCACGAGCCGTGCTCTGAAAGGAAGAATAATGCTTGGTTGTTAATTAAAAAAAAAAAAAAAAAAAAAAAAAAAAAGTGGCAAGGCAATGGTAAAGAATCTATATCAATACTATTTATGTATAAACTTGGGCTATCCAATTAATGCAGTTTTCCCGCTTTTTTGTTAATTATAGAAGATAACCGGTAAAATTTTCATGAGATAAGTGTAATGATATTATTTAACTATTTTACCATATAATACTTAATACTAATATTAAATAATTATAAATTTATATTTAAATGTTTATGGAACTTATACAGTTGTAAAAACAATTATAGCAACATTTTTTCTCCATGATCAATTTTAATGGCAAAACAAACCTTGAAGTCGCATAAATAATTGTTATAATAATTTAGTAATTTTTTCAACTAATTAATTGATCACGATCACTTAAATTTATAAGAATTAAATTATTCATTACATTTTAATGCAGTTTATGTAGTGATTCATATATAACTAAAATATTTTATAATTATATTCATTTTCAGTAATGATAAAATTTATAAAATGTGATATGTCGTTATATAACTTAAGATTTTAAATATAATATTCATATATGCAACTATCATATTTTTGTTTGCAAATGAGCATGTGCACATGACATTGAGTACTAGTTCATTAAGTGAGAAGAAATAAACTCGTTGGTGGATGTAACTTAGTTATGCTTCAAAAGATTGCACGTTCGAACTTAGACGACTATGAATACTTTTTGACTCGATAAACCACTAATTCATATTGGTTTTGAACAAACTATAACTGGTTCAAGAACATCCAACCCAACCCCCCAGGAGGAGTAATAACAACCGTATTTATTAGTTTTAGGCAAAAATGCATTTTTAGTCCTCTTGGTTTAACGTCATAGCAATTTTAGTCCCAAGATTCCAACTTTTTACCTTTTGATCTTGTGATTTGATATTGCAACTAAAATCTTAAATTACAAACTGAAAATTGCAACAAAAATTTAAATTACTCGATATCTGAGAAGGTAAAAGAGATATCGACTGGCGTACCTGGTAATACAAATATGCTCCGTAAAACAAGACCAGAAGAGGCATGATGGCCCACAACGACATTGTGCTCACAATCCCGATAAGAACAAATGTAGAAATAAGCTGCGACACTTGATTGAGAAACATGTTCGCAAAAGGAGCAACATTTCGATCTATGTCACCTAAATCCTTCGCAAATCTGTTTATGATTCTTCCGAGCGGATTCGTGTGGAAGAAGACCATTGGAGCTCGAAGAATGGAATTTAGCATGCCATTATGCAGTCTTCTGGCAGCATAAAGGCTCGACGTTATTAACCAGAATGAATTTATTAGCGTCACCAAAACCTGAAATTTAAATGATGTTTTAGTTTTCGCGAGGTTACAAGAAATGCAAAATAAAGGCGGAAATCATTGTAAGCAAGCAAGATAAATGGTAATGATACTTTATTATTAAAAAGAGAGAGAGGAATAACACACACACACACACATTTATATATTCGCATAAAACTTACTTGACCGAAAGAAAGGCTCGAGTAGACCAAATTGTAGAATATTGGCCCATGCGTATGTACAGTGCTTGTATCTGTCCAATGGCTAAGCCAAGTGCTGCCAGAAACTCGCAGGATTTCAGATAAAATATAGCACGTAAATAGAATCATAACCACCCATGCACCTCCCAGTGCATTTTTGTATCTGCATACACAACCAAAAAAAAGGGGGTAAATCTAAGTTTTAACAGAAAATTCAAGCTCAGCACAACAGAAAAGGACAGATTTTTCGCACCTCATCAATACATGCCAGCTCACAACACCAGTTTCACGTTCTTCCTGCTTAATCAGAACAGACTTGCCTTCTTTCTTATTATTATTCTTTTCTTTTACATCTTTAGATACCTCGCCATTCAAACCATTAATTGGTTTAGAAGTTCTATCATCAACTTTGCCAGTATCTTCATTTTCTTCAACATATTCTTCCATTTTGCCGGCATTTTCCATGAGCTTTTGGAATAGAACGCCACTGTTCGAGAGCTCTTCAAATGTTCCCTCTTCTTTAACCGTACCTTCATGCACCAGGAGTATTCTATCAACTTGGGATAGAAAATGTAGTTGATTGGTGACTAAGACCCTCGTTTTTCCTCTCAATTCTCCTCTGATGCACTTTTCAAATACCTGATGATTCAGAAATATACACAAATGCCAAACAAGTTCGAGTTTATTGACCAAGTCGAAACGCCAAATGTCAAATTTGCTAATTTCGGCAGTTAGTAAAGTTTCACGTTGCGTATTTCTATAAAACAGAAAGACAATTTTTTTTTTTAGTTAATTATGTAATATCAGAAATAGAAGCCAAAAGTGTTTGAAGTATTGTGCACCCATAACCATTGTAGAAAAATAACAATTTTTTACCTGCCGGCCCACATGAGCATCTAGAGCACTTAATGGATCGTCAAATATGTAAACATCAGAATCTGAATACACAGCCCGAGCCATTGAAACTCTCTGCTTTTGGCCTCCACTAATGTTGACCCCTCGTTCACCAATTTCAGTGAGATCACCACCCTATCATAGAAATATTAGAAGGCCACGATCAATCGACATATCTACTAATGAAAAAAAAATATATATAAAACTAATTTATGTCAGTCAATCAAGTTAACCATGCCATGATATATTTCTAAACATATCCTTACTGGTAGTAAATCCAGGTCATGCTGCAGAGACGTCACGTCTATTGACCTCCCGTATTTCCCAGGTTCAAATGTGGAGCCAAACAGTATATTGTCACGGACCTAAGAAAGACAAGTTTTCAACTCATGAACCGAATCAAAGTGAAAAGTTTAAGAATAAAATGAAACTTCCATTAAAAAATTTACCCCCTCAAAAAGCTAGAACTTGTCATATAGGAAAATATATGATTGGAAGGAGCATTTAAAATTTCAAAAGAAATTTAGGGCAAGCTCGTTAATAATATATTTCACTCTCATTCAATTCATACTCAAAATCTAACTCGACTTTACCTCAACTCCACTATCCTCAATATTATCAATATAATTAAATAATATCAAACAATCATTCTTACACATCACATCAATTTTAGTTCACTATTAATCCACTCACATAATTTTAACTAACCATCACTTCACATCATCTCTCTCCTATTTTTACATCAATCAATTTTAATTATATTTTAAATAATATTTTAATATAAACTCAAAATCCGCTAACCATACAAGCTTTTTCAAAATTAACCATGGTTAACCAAAAAAACTCGTTTTAACGGAATAGTTGTATTCAAGCACGCCCTTAGGCTTTAACTCACCGTGGCATTAAAAATCCATGAAACTTGTGGCACGTACGCAACTTTTCCTCTGATAACAACAGTGGCATCTGCAATTGGAGGAAGCTCACCGAGCATTGCTGATATAAGCGATGTTTTTCCTTCACCGGTGCTGCCAACAACAGCAACTAAGCTACCGACTGGTATGTCCAAGTTGATGTTCGACAAAGTTGGTCTTTCTGCCTGTTACAGAGTCATAATGAGCATATCTCAGCAGCTACACCAACGTACGAAGATGAAACTAAATCGGTTGGAAAAGATAAGTGAAATTACTCAATCGTGGTGTTATATGTACTACTTTGGGAGGATCATTTTCAGTCAATGATTTGCATTAGGGCTGCAAACAAACCGAGCGGCTCCCGAGCGCTCGAGTCAAAGCTCGGCTCGAGGTCGAGTTTGACCGAGACTCGAGCCGAGCTCGAGCGGCTCAAGCATGTTATCAAGTCGATCTCGAGCATAGTCTTTGGAAGGTCGAGTGGCTTGATATTTATAGTGAATTACTAAATTACCCTTTTATATATAAATATTACAATTTTTTACATATATACTTAATGGTAATTTTAAATTCGGGTCGAACTCGAGCTGCACTCGAGCAATTTGTCGAGCATTTTGATTTCAATCGATCTCGAGCGAAGCTCAAGCGACTGTCTTATTTTTCGATCTCGAGCGTCATAAATCGAGCTCGACAAGCTCCAGCTCGAGCAAGCAAAAAAATCAATCTTGCTCGATAAGGCTAATTCTCGGCTCGGCTCGGCTCATTTGCAGCCCTAATTTGCATAGATATATAATCTCTGCTGAATATTGACCATCCAATTACTAGAGTCAGTAAATGCAACTAAATTGTCACCAAATTGACAGACCTTAGCCTCCCAAGAAAAGTATCCATTCCTAATTGTGATAGCCGGTAATCCAGGTTCAATAGGTGGGTTAGGCAAAAGAATTCGGTCTTCAGCAAGAAGAAGTTCCTCCAGACGTTTCAACGACACATTTGCATTTACAACCTGGAAAATGATACAGAAGGCATACGAAGTCATTAATAAATAAAAGTTAAAAAAGAATAAAGGGCCAAAACTAGCTCACCAGTGTTCAGTACTTTTTACCAACAAGAGTAATTTAGATTCCAACCTATGTAGTCTACTATCAAAAACCATATACAATCAATATCAGTTTTAGAAGTCAACAGAACAAATAACGGTATGAGTGGAATTCTGTCCAAATCTTCATAGAATTTAGACAAGAAAATATTTGCAGATAAATTTTTTACGCCAATTAATAATAACGCAACTGATAAGATTGTAACAGTGAAAGGATAGAAAGAGGGTACCTGTGTAATAATATTTGGAAGCATGAACAATGGAAATCGTAAAACCGCAAACAACGAGAGCGAAGTAAAAGCCCTTGCAGGTGTCAGGTTTCCTCCAAGTAAAGTGAATACTCCAAATGAAATAACAATCACCACCACAGGAATACTGTTAAGTATAAAACTGTTCAACTGCAAGCACGGAATAATGTTACAATATTAGCATGTAACATAGTAGGGGAAGGGAAAATCATAAGAGAGAATACACGAGAACTGAAAAGAATAAATAAAGGACAGATCTCAATTCCTAAACACTGCATATTACTGCATAATGCTTTTTCTAAAATAGTGTTACATATTACGGCATAATGCTTTTTCTAAAATTTTGACTGCAATGCAATTATGACTTATGGATGGAATTTAATGCAACAATCGAGACAAATAGTGATTAAAACAATTTCTTAAGATAAAATCATACGGCTCCCAGCAACTGAGCTCTCCTGTACCAAGACAACTCCTCGTTTCTAACACTTTGAACTTTTGCCTGGAAACTATTCTCCCAAGCATAACATCTGAAAATCGAATTTTTGGCATGAATAGATGCTCGTAAATATACGCACAACATAACATTGAATTCACACATCATTATTTCAGTCTGAAACTTTACTTGACAGTGTCCATCGCAGCCAAGATTTCATTCATGAGTCCGATTCGCTTGTCCGTGCGTTGCAACCCTTCTTTTGTCAGTTTTTGCATCTTGCTGATTATCAATGTCTGTTTTGATAAGTCAAAATTCAAATTAGAACAAAATATGACAGGTAGTCATTTTGCCGAAGACAAGAACACAAGGTTATATCAATAAATATGTACATTAAAATATTTTCCGGCCAATTTGAGATTTTCAGCATGTCACAGTCTTCAAAAATGGCATTCATAAGAAGTTTCGTTCTTAGAGTAAATAAATAAATCCTCACAAATTTCTTTACTAGCAAATGGCAAAAACGAACGAGAAAATATATATATCAATAGAAATTGCAAACGAACATAATCAGACAAAGTCTCTCAGAGATAGTCAATATTGGGAAACATAATATGCAAAAAAAAAAAAAAA